TCGACGAGATCCGGCCACACATTCAAATTCGACGAGGCCGAAATTCTCGCAAGAGGTGACAACCGCGTGAGCCTGGAGCTACTTGAGTCAAGGTTTACTGGTCCCCAGTCAAGTAACAAATGCAATGAACTTCCCCTTGCATACTCAGTGCTGAAACTTCGCCTTGGCGGAGTAATCAGCCACGCGGGGGGGGGGGAAATGTGAACACCTGTCCCAACGCCAGGGTCGATGCGTCAGATGGTCGAGCAATCATCACACGCACGTGATGAAATTGCAGCAATTAACGACGTGAAGGTCGGCCATCAAGCAATGATCACACCAAGTGCGAAGATACCGCATGAAGGGGGGAGCTGGGAATGTTAATAGGTATGCGGTAGTATGGCGACTGCATCCTATAAATACTGCAGTCCCTTGTGCGTGAATCACTCCTATCTGCTGTTGTCTCTGATGATGGATTCCAGCAGGAATTCGAAACGTCACACTAATAAAGCTCTTGTCTTAGCGATCGTGTCCCCCTCTTCAAGAGTACATCCTGGGACCGAGCTCTTTACTCCAGCGTTTCCTACCATGTATAAAACATGTGTCCGAAGCGATAGGACGTATCGCTGTAGAGCTCGGCGAGGGTATCGCTCACCGCCCAACAGCGGCCATGCACAACAAAATCATGCGAGTAAAAGGCTGACTAGACGTAGAACAATCGGCTGTCGTTTATCCGATACCACATCGGTACTGCCCTCACCATTACACAGGGCAGACCGGACGACGGCTTAGCTTGCTAATAACGGAGCATAAATGGGCATTCAGGAGAGGCGCCTCGTTGTGGCGGTCACAGATGTGAGATAAACTTAAACCACGCACAAGAAATTCGTTTTTTCTAATGTCAGCAGACAGGTAGCAGTGGGGGATAGTTTATTCTGTACACATGGCAGGTTGCCGTAAGTTGGCTGTTTGCCTGTAGCAGACATATGCGTCCGCTCACGGAGAGCGTCATTCGCGGTGTGTCGTGCACGCGGGGGTGAATGTCTGTGTCAGTAGTTGTAGGTGACTGGCGGAGTGCTGGTCATGAGATTGGACGGATTAGGCGAAGCATAATCACAGGGGCTCACGGGTATCAAGCCAGGTCGTCCGACGTGCCTGAGGTGATAATAGTTTGTGAGGGCAGCCGGGAGTCACTGCAGTTGGACAGGAGGGGGCCTAGTTCTAGGCGGCGGGGGTGGCCGTGTGTCAGCGGCCTCGCGACGATTGTCGCGGCTATCGGCCGGCAAAACGGAGTCGGAGAAAAGGGGGACTGGAGCGGTTGTCAAACCGTTGACTCAGGTCGCCACTCACAACCTGGAGGAAACCCCCGAATTTACCTTTGTGAGTACGCGAATAGAAGCGCGGGCCAGCAAAATGACAGGGCGAGAACTGCTGGAGGGCTGAGTGTCTGACACCAACCATATCAACAGACACGTTGACCCTTCCCCGAGCTATCACACACATCCCGTTCCCGCGGCCAAGAGGCGAGACCTAATTTCCAGCCAAGGGTACACGCAGTCACGCCACCTTGAGACTACGTGGGCTTCAACCTTTCGCAAACACCACCCCCTGCACTCCTATCCCCCTCGCCTTCATGGCTTGACTGCTCATTTGAAGCCGCTTTCTAACAGTTTCTGACGATGGCCTCCTGTACGAAGCCGAATGCTCAGACTAATACACGTTCTGTCCCAGAGGTACTGTGATCATCTTCTTTATACTTTGACATCGCCCCGAATTATGCATTGTTCTGTAATACTCGAGCCACCCAAGGGTAGGATTTTGTCTTCTTCTATGTGACAGTCCGTATAGGCTTCCTTGGTGCTTCTGCCTGGTCGAGCGTCTCCTTGGCTGGAATCCTGAAAACTAGCGCGAATTGAGCTCATCATTTGTAAGTGCAAGAATACGCAGATAGAATAGGTTGACGATGGAAAAGTTTATCAAAAGAAATATATCAACCGAGGTTATTAGTCCTGTTCTGCCTTCTTGTCGTCTTCCTCCTTACGGGCGGTCCCTCGACTGGTCCCCTCACACTCTTCCACGGCGGTCCCTAAAAAAGGTACGTTCGGAACGCAAATCAATCAAACGGTACAGGAAAAGCATGGTAAGGACGCATTTAAACAAAGCGGTCAGGATGTCCTTCTACAGTTCATATTTAAGGGTTCGGGCCTCCTACTCGACGATTTCCACCGTGTGCATCACAGCAGAGTGGATTAGGCATGATGACTTACAAGCAGAATAGTCTATAACGAGATTAGACTTGCACGGCTTCTACCGCGCTCCCTCCTTCTCCCCAACCGGACTCACTGTAAAGTCGCAGCCTAGAAGTCCGGAGGCGAGGAGGGCATATGCGTCTGGCACGGCCGAACCGCACCTAGGCGTAACATCACACTCTCTGGTTCCCAACCAATATTTTAGCGGTATTTTAGCCAACAACAAAACGAGTCAGAAGGACTACGGAGATGGCTGAGCGGCCATGCTCACGGCCTGTATACCTAGAGGGGCCACACGCGCATCCACCGGAATGGAACCAGAGTTTTCAGAACTGCCAGCGCACACAATGCTCTGAAGATCATGGCTTGCTTATCATAGCATAGGAGATGCTTGCATTCCCTGGGGGTGTTCAAAGACATGTGACATGAGATCATACGGACTAACATACAGTTTATGTTTGTTAATAAGAGTCAAAATGCGTAGACCAATAAAGTAAACGTAAGTAAAAGTTCAACTGCCATGTAGTATATAGCAAATGAGGGCTGTCATTCGCTCTTTGGAGGTGGAACTCCTTCTCTGAAATGACGGTAAGACCGTCGCGAGAGACAGCGCCTACCGCGTGTCCCGCTTAGTGTTGCAGATGACCAGTGCCTTGATCGTAAATTGTTTTATAGTGAGACAGACTTGCACAGCATCCGTCGCGCAATCTCCCGCCCTGCGCTTTGGAGGCCGATGGCATGACAAAGTCAGGTCGACGGAAGATAGTCACGATCTGAGTGACCGGCAATGACAGACATTTTTGTCTGCAGGTGCCACAAACTGTCTAGGTCCCACAGAATATGCCAGATATTGATGGGAAGTACAGCCGGCTTTGCATGAGCGTTTTTCAGGGTCATGGCTAGCGCAAGGGGCAGAGCGTCGGGTAGGGGTTGCAGATAATCTATAGACTTCGTGGTGGTGCAGTTAGTTTGAACGGTTTTTACATACAAGACAAAGACAGGAAACTCTGTGACATGTTTCTACCATCAAGTCTGCGGTTTTTTGACTGTTACTGCATTTAGAATTTTTTTATAGTATGCGTTTATACTGGCAGTTAGACATTAATATCCGTCAGAAGTAAGTCTGCGTCTTCTTCTACTGGCCGTCTCCGCTGTAGAGCCGGAAAAAAACAAGAAAAACGCCCTCGCAAATCGTTTGCGTTGCCATCTGAGGGAATATTCCCTCGCCCCTAGCTTATCGGTTCATTTGGAGTGCTATCGAAGAGGTTGCCAAAGCGAGCACAGAGCGGGTGCGATTGTGTCTGCAGGCAACATCAACCACCATGTCAACCTAACCGCTTACTAAGAAGACCTGCTCGCACTACTGACTTGCTTCTAACGGGCATTCTATCTTAATATAATGCAGTTCGAAATCAAGCGTTTGGAGTCTAACTCGTTCCTTTCAACCCCATTCCATCTCCCCTCTCCGACCAACGTTACCACGAACGAGAGCTCTGCTTCTGTAGCCTGCATATCCCTAAGTGTTCCAGTTTAAATATTCCCTCTGCTCTACTATTAACTTCATCTAATAGCCAGTTGATATCGGAGACTGGCTTATCTACGAGTATTCTTCAAATATTCCGAGGAGACTACGAATGTTTGCATGGCAGGGTAAGGATCATAAAAGACTCACACCATCGGAGTCAGGATCGATTTTTTGAACACCTATGATGTCAGTGAAGACCTCTGAAGTTCATTCCGATTGAACGTAAGACACATAATAAAACTGATTTCTGAAGCATTCGTTTTTCTATAATGCATCTGTTCTGCGCCCAGTGATTTTTTCATGCGGTAGACTTCTCGTCTACAACTTTCGAAAGCTGATTTTCAGCCGACTGATTATAATTAGAACCGTAACATGCAGATGTGAGCCGAACTGCATGTCCAGTCCCTAGAAACTGCAGACTTGACCAGAAATGCCATTTGCGATATTTGATAAACTGGAAACAATAGGTTATAGTACAAACGATTAACTCGAGCTAGCCTGTGGAACGTGCCATGCGTCGAATGGATAGAAAGGGAGTTTAACGAGTGGGGCATCATACAGGACGGAGAGCAATAGAACACAGAAAACAGAAAATTTATGCCGAAAGTGTTAATTTTCGCTTTCATTTGTTACGAAAAGTGAGCACGACAATAAAAATATTAACGGAAAGCCTTTTTAAAATCAATGACGGACTTTGAATAAAACACTCCTGGCAAGTTTACACTTAGGCGGGAAGGAAAGGGCATTTCAAACAATTAGAACGGTGAATAATAAATGATGTTAACGGTCACATTGTATTTTAGGCTATATTTGCTTAGCTGCCTTTTGGTAAGGGGACTTACTTCTTATCATTGCCGATTATTTGTTTAATTGGCAATGGTAACTTTCCCTGTCATGTAATTTTAACCCGCTTGTCTACTAATAAAAGATTAATATAAAAAAATTTAAAGCAATCATTATTTCAAATAATTTTTTCTTGGAAAATGAAACACATTTCTCTTGACGGCACATATTTATGTTTAATTCAGCATGAATAATTTCGAAAATGCCGCTTGCAACCTCAGTTGTTGCTGCATGACCTTGGTAAACGTCATTGGACGAAATGAGGCCATGCATCCTTCACCAATCGCAATTCAGGAATTCGCCCAATGCCTTTCAAACCCTCATAAAGCAAAGGTAAAATAGCACTTACGCAGTGGTCTACACCAGAAGCACATTTTTTCCTTAACTAAGAATAATAAATTGCCATGACTGCTGAGACCTTTCTCGCAATGCTTATCGGACTTGTGGGCATTATTGCAAACATTGGAATTCTTAGTATTACCAAGCTCATCGGACGTGTGCCGAGGAAAAAACTGTCTTCGGGCGGTTACAGCACGGATGAAACAGCCTCTGAAGTGCGCAATGCCCGTATAAGTCTGGATATGCGTCGACCCTCGGAGACCAAATTTCCCAGCTTCTTTTCCAGCGGCCTGGAAGTCAAGCATTTAAACCTCCTTAGTCCCTGCAGTAAAGCATCACTCTTTAGACTCTCATCTCTTCTCTCCATTAATAAACTCGGTCAGGAAGAACAAATGTCAAAGGATAAGAAAGTGAATTCCGGTCGTCGCATATCCTGCAGGTGGAGAAGTCGACGTCATCAAAAATACCTACAGGGGCTCATCATTGTTGCATTCTGCAATATTTTTCTCTCCGTCACTCTCTTACTGAAGGCAGCTGGGATGTGTTGGAGTTATAATCAGGAAGTGGTCGACAGCAGACTAGAGGAGTATCCTCCATGGCAACGATTCTGCATTTCCCTGGGTCTCATGCTCTTTCTGGACATTTTTCAAGCCGCCGAGATTGGGGCCATTATGTGGATTGCTATTAATCGCGCCGGAGCCATCCACAACACGTCGCGCCGAAATAATTCGCGTTATTCCCAAAGCACCCAGTCGTACGTTGACAGACCTCCAAATAACTGCTGCACTGCAGGACTAAAGGGACTCCTCTGTGGCCTGGAACCTCGCCGGCGGGAGCAGACCGGCCAAGTTAATATGATTATGAGCACTCGTCACGGGCACAGTCGGACTGACGGTAATGCCGCCTGTTGTCCACTAACGCGGAAGGCTGGCCGAACATTTCGTTGCATAGTGTGCCTCTTGCCGGCTGGTGTCATTATTTCATCGGCATTTTTGAGCCTTGCGGACTGGACCGCAATCACTGCGCCTGTAAGTGCGGCATTATTGTACTACGCAAACGCATCGGTTTGGTCTCCGCTGGCATACTACACCCCCAATGTCAGTGTTGGGATACTTTTCGGGCATTTTCTCCTCCCGGTGGTGTTTTTGGTTACAACGAACATCCTCATCTATAGAAAAGTAAGTTCAAATTTTGATTCGGCTTTAAGCACAAAATATAAAAGTGATCTATCTCAAGGTATTACCATAGATTCTTGTAAATTAGCGCAACCGAACTGGGTCAAGCATGTCCAAGGCTCTCTTTTCAATCACTTAGCTCAGCACTGGTTTAACTAATTAGCTTTTATTTACGGAAATACCTTTTAAATCAGTATATTGCTTTTAAAATCATTTATCTAAACTAACACCACGCTACCTACCGCCGTTTATATCACGTACGAACATAATTTGACCATGCAACAACACGCATTACCAACATATTAAGCCATATTCGGGACTACCTACAAAAACACTGTTTTGCATGACATTATATGTTGTCTCAGACGCAATATACTGGTACACGCAAATAACCAATTAAGAGTAATTTTCAACGAGTAATTTAATCGTAAAAATGCGACGCATTACTGACGCAATCATTTGTTTATGTATCCGCAAGTAAGCATTTAAATGATATGCGGAACCACATTAAGGCCCGTGTTTTGCGGCCTTTTTGCACGTCAATGTTTATATGTAGGCAGCAAAGTGCAATAATTTCAATTTAAATCGGTTGTTAGTCGCAACCTTTTTTAAGAAAAATATTAATGCCTGATGACTTTCAAACTACCGTCCTTCAGTTATAGAAAATGGGATAAATGCTACAATTTCATTTGTCTTTACAACACACTTCCTTCAGGACTGTCAGTTCACTTTCATTTCAATGTCCAAGATGACCGCAAATTTGGCGATTCAATCATGACTATTTTTGGGTAACGTCTAATTAATCAGCAGAATGAAAAAACGGAATGCATTGAAAGGTAGCGATTGTCGTTGTTGCAATCCACAAGAAATCCGTGTTGTCCGCGCAAACACCATTCCCACCAATGGACACCAAGCCCCAAGCGTCAAATTCCTGAAATTATGATATGGTATTGCAGGTCGAAGGGGAAAATTCCTCACCGTTTGAAGTGTTCCAACACGCACGTGCAGCTTTTTTGGTACACAGGTGTCCATTATTATTTCTAGTCAGACATTGGCGGTTATTAGATACATGTTTCGAAGGGTGTGCATTTCATATCTAACTCAATTATTTTTACTAAATACATGCTGGTTTTCGTAATTCGTACAGAAGACAAAGAAGCGATCACTAGAACAAGAGCAGATAGCATTTGCGTCTTCTTAACTGCTACCTGGAGCTCGACTGTTCGTTTCTACCAGTAATTAGTACGGTCAGCTGCACTTTTGGAGAATAACAAAGTAAGCTAGGTAAACTCAGTCTGCGAATGTCCCAGCACATTTTAAAGCAGCCTCCAAAACGTCCTAAATCTTCCTCACGCTGGGCGGTACTAACTTAAGACATCTCGGCTCAGTTTCGCTTTCATTTTTCTTGCGATACATTTTAAGTCAAAGTCTAACGCAGTTGGTTTAATCGCGTCTTAATGGTGGCCGGATTTGCCGCGCAGGCACCATTTATTCCGCTTAATAGAAGACCGCAACGTCCGAATAAACCGGTTTTGTTTAAAATCCATTAACTTAGGCGGTTCAAACTTTGTTGCATACTTTCTTCTTCCCCTAGGGTACCGTGGTTCGTTTAAATTTACTGTCTGGGAAGAGTTAATTACCGTGGTGTAAAAAAAACATTGTTTGACCTAGCAAGAAGTTCCAAATTAGTCCCAAGCTACCGTCAAGGACGACATCAGAGGTTGGACTTCCGACTTCGACTGTTTACCAGATGTGCACGCATAACGCAGATCAATCTTTTGAACAAAAGCACAAAAGCGGCATCGCAGCCTATTGCTTCTCAAAAGTACCAGGTCCAGTTAGCCTTGATTTTCGGAGAAGACTGTCGCCTTTTATGTTGGCCAATAACGTTCCACCTACCAGAAGGAGAAAGTGAACTCAGGGGACGAGATCACAGTTTTGTTTTCTTTTCAAAACGATGCACAAATGTTCTACTTACTAAAACCACTGGTCGATCGCGAACAATAGACAAGCAAATGTGCAAACGGACGAAGCGATTTTAAACCCGACGTAATGTCTATCTACGGTCGGTTGCTTTGTTAGTGCAGGCATGCAAAAATGCGTCGTACATATTAAAGGAAACCAAAAAAATAAGAAGTCTATAATAAGCATCCCCGTTTTCAAAACGAAGATGTCAACACTTTGCGTAATTTTAAGAATGAAAGATTCAGAATTTCCAAGCGCTTCGGGTTCTGAAGCGGAAGCAGTAAATATCAAATGCGTTTTATTTCGATTGCAAATACGTCCAAATTGCTTGTTACCAATTTAACTACACATAACTCAGTAGGTGACAGACTCAGTGTGTTTCTTCCTTACCGGTTTGTTACCATTTCAGGTATCCCTCCGACAGAAACGTTTCTGCTCTAGGCGGTCTAGTCACAACGGCAGGACGAACTGCCTCTATGATGATGACGAAAGTTGCAGCGCCATTTTATATCCCAGTCCATTTCACTCACCAATGCCAAAGCCATCGGACGTCCCCAGACTCACAATCACACAAAGCAGCGACACAGACATAAACACCGCTTCATCAGAAGCACCGCCATTGCCGGATTCACAGGCAAGACAAGCTCATAGCTGCAGTCCGCCTCGGAAGTTTGCAAGCACTGTACCACCCCTATTTCTGCAAACCCTGTCTCCGCTGGTGAACGCTCCTCAACTGCACAGTGTCTCAGCAGTTGATATTAGTAGTTTGCAGACGGCTGGTTTGGCCCAACCCAATGGGCGCGATGTCCTGGCACCCAACTATTCCCTCCACCTGCCTTCGGCACCGGGCATTGGTCCCCGGCGAAAAAGTTTCAGCGACGCCATATCGGCAACAAAAACGCAGCTGCCAGCGACGACTCCGCTTGCAGATTCTCCTAACCACACAACGGATGTCAAATTCCTTGACCTGCTTCGAAGGCAGCATAGACGCACGGTCATAGTGTTGGTTATCATACTCTGTGTCTATCTGGTCTGTCACGGTCCGCGGTTTTTGGCTCTCTGTTTGCACCTCCAGCTGGGAAAACTGCCGCCAACCTCTCTATCTCGCCTGTTGCAGTGGAGATCGCCAGAGACGGTCCCCCTGCTTGCCTACGCCACACTTTGGAGTCGTCTCTGCACTCTGATCGATCCAATAGTTTACGGCTTCTGGGGCAACCGCGCCTACCGAGAGTGCTTGCGAAATCTCTCGCGGAGAATGATTTGGCGTCGCTAATGAGGTCGACGTGGGAAGTGCGTATTCATCACCGTTGGACTGAAAATCTTATGGGTGATTTGACCCTACTGGACACTCAGTATACGGTCAGCATCGAGGCCTCAAATGTCGCGTTTCGGCCGAAGCATGCTAATTTGCATTTTGCTGGGACCTACCCTGGCAAGAAATGCAGCCTTCACTGGTTGAAGAACGAGTTCTTGCATTTCTTTCATCCATTATACATTTTATGGTGTTTCAAATAATGTATATTAAGCAGAAATATCCTACATAACTGAGTCTTCTGTTACAGCAGTATGGCAGCCTTTTACCGCGTTAAGTCGAGTTAAATCACGACAAAAGTGGTGGCGCATTGAAAAATGCAAAGCGCGTTTGCTTAGCTCACATATACAGAATAAGGTTTTTGAACCAATCGTCCGTGTGATATTCGGAATGGAAAGCCTAATTATGCCAAATGTGGTTACTGTTTTTGACGACCGTTAACCGTTGTCAATCAGGTCCTAAAGACGTCAAATGACACAAAGCCGAAAAAGCTAACTGTAATAACGATAGCGCTAAAACGCTTTCGAAGTTCGCTGAGCACCTTGGTGTTTCTCAGTGTATATGAAATCCGTTAAATGTCTGGGTGGACGATGACATCTAAGTTACGCCTACACTATTTTCATAACCCAGTTATATTCAATCAACCGAAGTCAGTCGTTTTAAGTGCAATGCAGGGTATCATTTGTCTAGAAACTGACTGTTGGTTGCTGCTGATTTATTACAGCGACGTTTCTTTCAAACTGAACAGGAAAAAGTGTAATTTAGAGAACCATAATAATAAACTGAATGCAGGCGCACTAAAAGTGTATTTTAACAACACCAAGGCCAATTTGACTTGTACTTATTACCTGCTAGTATTTTTTTTAATTTATCAAAGCGTAGGTTACGCAAGTTCATGTTCTTTGAGCCAAAACGCGAACTTGGAATAGTATTTTTGTGCAAAGACACTGCCTGTATAAATTTAATTAAAAAGCCGAAACAGGATGTGTGTATGTCTTGCGGCGAATAGAACATCTCAAAACTTCCAATGAACTCCACTGGATGGGCTGAATACTCATCTGTTATAACTAAATTCATCCCCTGGCCATCGCGAATGAGAGCGCACACCATGTACCCAAAAGCGGAGACAGTGAACTAGACTATAGTGATAATAGAAATGCGCATCATTCACCGGATTCAATATTCCGTTACTCATCATTATTCGACTTTAAGACAAAGTCGGAAAAATTGGCGGCGAGATTAGACACAGTGGCTGACACAAACAAATGGTCAGCTTATGCCTCTTCTACGCAAGGCAAGGGAGCGGAATTAAACTAGATGGGATCGCCAAAGTGACCGACATATATTCCAATATATACATATATGCGCTGAAGAGGTTTCGATAAAGGTAATGAGAATTTTCAATGATCTTTTCCGACTTATATTCCACCGTCAGTTGGCCTTGCCGATATCCAGCTTCTGCCGCATCTGTGCCCCGATCCCGCATTCCCTGGCCATCAGATTCTAATGAGCCAAACGTAATTAAACATCGTGCCACGGACCCATGTTCCCATCGGTTGTAATCAGGAATACTTAGCTATTTTGGAAATGCAGTCCCTAATTGACTTACGAGTTCCTTTGTGTTTTGGGGCATGCAATCTCACAGCATCCAGAAACATATGCCGATGTGAGTTCGGAGGAAGACAAGGCGGACTGGAATGGGCATTTCTTCTTTCTTAACCATCCGGACGAGTAGGTCGCATGACTCGATCGACGTTTGCAGTTTCAATGTCAAGGTGTGTGTGCTAGAAGATCGTCCATCGATCGGGCTATGGGAAGAGTTCTACCTCTTATAGTGGTACTCAGTACACAGTTCTTGTAGGCAGATACATAGCGATCAGGACGGAATACCCACGCTGACAGGAAAGATTGAGGCGTCGAGGTGACAGACCCACGCAACGCTGGGTTTGGCCAAGCTCAGAATCGGGCACCATGTTCACTGGTGACGATAATAATATGTAAATGGACATCCCGCTTTTCCGCTCCTTGTCTAGAAGTCAGTTCATATATCGAACTCCATCCTTATTGAAGCGTCGAGTGCAATGATAAGCTGTGCAACCCTACCTTGCAACCAGTAACTTCGGAGCCGTACAATACGGGAATAGTGGTAGTAGGGTTTTATGGCTGGGACATCACAGCGGAGGGGGAACAAAATGAATGCAATTCTTCTCCTATACCTACGCATATAGCCATGGATTTGAGCGCGTTACTTAGAAAGCAGCTAATGCCGGGTTCCAATAAACCGGCAGGTCAGAAGTCAATGTAACGGACAACCAATGGGAAAGAACAAAATCCAGCCTCAAAGAATGCAGCTGTAAAAAAGCACTGGCAGGTAAAGTGATGTACACGTACGCTAGAGGAGCTATTCAAATGCACTCTAAAGAAAATGTCAAGCAGCGCATGTATGAAAACACGTTAGTGTTTGCATAATGGGGTAACTTATAAATGCAATATAACAGACTGAAGGCGCTGTGTATAATAAACAAATACGTTATTTAGCAAACGTATGTAATAATGCCTATTTCAAGGTCGAAGAAATGTAAGACAACCGCAGCCTGACTTGTCGAAGAAAGCGGAAAAAAACCGAAGCTATAAACTCGGAGAAGGTGGTGGCATGCTATCGACCAATAAAACTGTCGCTACAGCGTCACAGTTCGGACAATAGTTCACACGGCAACGGTAGGTTACATAGCCTCACCTCACAACCAATAAACCCAGCCGTCTTCAATAGCTTAATGATTGTAATAGGCTTTTAACGGTAGTTCATCACCGCGCACGGGGAACGAAACGAATACAGCAAGACATAAAAAACAAACAGATTTTCGCCAAAATTCTTTCTCTGCACTTGTGTATAGCAGTGGAATTAATTGCGTTGCGCGAGGTAGAACGAACTTGAATAAATCGCGACTTGTAAGTTCGAAGTAGGTCAGGAAACAATATAGCGAACAACCAATGGTACAGAACAACAGCAGGTGCCAGATTGGGCACCAGTACGTTTAAGGCCTATAAGAGCAGACTGAAAAGGTAGCTCCAGGACGAAGGACCGATATCAGACCGTGTAATACCGGTCCACGTAGAATATGTTCAATATTGTCTGTGTTTTGACTTAGACAGCTTTGGCCTAAAGCAAGCGTGGGAAATGGTTCAGTTGCAGAATCCGAAAGCATATCCGGTGCAATGGGGTTTCGAACGAGGTACATGAAGGAATCCTTTCTGTACACGTTCGGCAACTGAAAGTGTCTAACGAGAAGCCGAGCGGACTCAACGCCCTTTACAGCAGGCGTTCTATGGTGAGTACGGAGTCAGCAAAAAAAGGCTAAGCTGGTCTTTTTGAAAAACTAAAAACGTCGCGCGTATAAAATCGACAAGAAAAGGAAACTCAATTGCATTCGTTCACTAAAACAAATATAGTAGTTAGCTATGCCATTAAAACCCAGCGGGATTGCACAATCTATCTTGACCGTTTCGAACTCTCCCCTGCTGCCTTCATTAGATTAATCGGGTGGCTTTTTCAGACGACCTCAACTCGATCAGCTTTGTCCATTTCCTTTGGCGATAAAGGACAGGATATGTAGAATTAGACACTAGCATTGCTAACAACTGAAAATAGTCGCATAGCTTCGACGGGTTCAGATTGCTTAACAGAGATACATAGCGGAAACCAGAAACTACGACTAAGCAATTATGAATTTCTTGATTTTATTTGCTGTAAGCAGCTTGCATGTTTCATAGGCTGAGACGAATTGACAAAAATCGTCCAAAACATCATTTATTCGAACATTTTATGCATGGAATACTTTATCTAGAAGTCACTGCGCAGCAACAAACCAACAGGATATCGGGTGCTCGCAGTTGCTATTAAACATATGAAATATTTACCCTGAACTGCAAACACAGGCAAAAAGACCATTAACAAGATGAAGTTAATAAGGTGCAAACGCAATTTCCGTAACAGGATATGACGACAAGATTCCTTGAACATTCTTGACTCCTCTACGTGTGCGCTTATTGGATTTATGTTAGTGTCATGCCGACAGCTTGTTATCGAACTGTATCTTATGCAAAACCCCGGATAACGCTGCATTAGCATAAATAATGCAGTAGGCCAATAAATGCACTGACGGATTTATTAACAGTTTCTTGCAAGGCCTTGTAAGCACTGCTTGATGACTAATCAAGAGAAAACTACATTTTGTGAATGCAAAACAAATACTTTTCGTAACTGCTTCGGTGGAGGGTGACTGAGCGAGTTTACGAACAGGAACTGACATGCGACGCAGCACTGAAAGACAAGTTCCATAGGTTATGTGATTTTAGCGTTCTCCAAAAAGACAAATCGGTAAACTAACTGACACCAAATGCGCTTACGAGGAAATAAACGAACGTGCTGTAGCAGGAAGCCTCTTTTAACATGACTACTGCTAAACATCTTGGCAGTACAGTATAAACTGAACTCTAACCGCAGTGGTCATCGCAACGTGCTCGCGAAAAACTTGCATTCTACTGTTTTTTAAATTAAATAGTATACATTTAGAAGGTCAAAAGGTAGGCGTAGTGTCGTCAACTCCTTTATCTCATGCGATTACATCATATTGTGAGAACATGGACGACGGCCCAAACCTGACCTTATCTTTTTCGAGTTTGCAAATGTGAGGGGTTTCGCTGCAATTCATGTACGTCCTCAGAGTTCGTCAGACCTACGGCCCAGAAAAGTGGTTTTTTGATGCTTCAACATTTTGACGGCCAATTCAGACATAATCACCAGTTACTTGATGCAAATTTTCAGATTACTAATCGTTTTAGAAAGTGGTATTTTGCCTCGTATCACATTACTGGACTTGCAACTTTATGGGCCCAATTTGAACGTAGTCAGGTTCAGCGGGTAGTAGCGTAATATACATAAGCAAACAACAGGCAAGACA